GAGGGTAACACTAGCGGAACTTTCGAACTGCAATATTTGTGACAGACTTGAGCACACGATGAAGCTGTTCACAGGGACATAACAGAGCGAAAGTAAGTTCATGTTGCTGCTGATGTGTCGCCATAGTGTTTCGCCTACTTGATTGTCAACTCCGGCGAATTTGTTGATATACTCTTGAATTTGCTCGGTTGAAAACCCTAAGATTTCAAAGGTTTTGTCGAAATTAAGATGTGCGATACCGGTCAAAGCCGTAGGTCTAGTAGTCGTTACAATTGAAGCATCCTTAAGAAGTTTCCCAGTCACAAGCCACTGATAAAGGATTTGTAGCGGCATCTTGTCTTTAATGCTTCCGGGATGAGAAGGCGCCACGGCCATGTTTGCGTTATCTTTGAATTCGTCAAATCCGTCAAAAAGTATGAGGACACCTTCAGGGTGCTGCAGGATGTAATTCCAGACCTCATTATCCAGGTGATCTGAGATGGAATGTTCTGACCGGGTGAGTAGTTCCCTGAGGCTAAGGTCGTCTGCCGAGTTGAATCTTCTGAATTTTACGAAGAAAGCAGCATCAAATTGGATTTGGGATTTGACTTTCTCAAATGCCCAGTCTCTGAGAAGTTTGATGCAACATAATGTTTTGCCGATTCCGGGACGACCGACAATCAATACTTTCTTATTTTTATCATTTAGGAGGTCTTCCAGGCTTTTCGGATGTGATTCTTCGTCGCGCGACCTTGGATAAACTTTGAGTTGCTCTTGTCTGTTTGTAGTAAAGTTGTAGTGAGCCCTGTTGGGAATGATAACAAGGTTTGTGTAAATCTGATCCAAAGTCAAATCTTTGGCTTTTGTTTCCTCGCCTGGAGGACGTCGAAACGGTGATTGGAGTTCGTAGAGGCATCGAGTGTCTTCCTCAATGATTTTCCTCGTTCGTGCGATGAATGACTGAAGCTGTTTAGGCTTATCATGTCCGCTCGTTCCTTCATGGTTAGCATTTAGATAGGTTTTTAGGAAGTCTGAGTCTTGCATAAAATTCCTTTCTATCCATGCCTGTGTCAAAATGTAGACGATTTCAATCAGAATGCCAGCGTCAAAAATTCCATTCACTGCAAGGACAGCGTTCATCCAAAAGGTTTTCTTTATCGCTCGTTGATTGTGACATTTGTGTAAAGTACTGTTTGGGGCGGCGTCCGATGAATTCTTCGGCGGATTGGTTCCAGAGTTCAAGCAACATTCAAACGTGGAGGAAAACTTTAAAGGATAAAGCAACTGAGTTTGCAGCAATATGAAGAGAACTCCTAGAACAAGTCTCGTAGATAGTTGACAACAGTAAGCTATAAAAAGCCTGTGTCCGCAATTTGTTGTTTGTCTTGTTGGGCTTTCTTGGTCGCGCGACTGTCCGCTCTCTGGATCACGGTCACGACTGCTCGACGACAAATGATCGACTGTATTTCTCACTGTTTGGGAGTAGATAACACATACAATTGCAATAAGGAGGAAATTGGTGATCACGAAGCCATAGACAGGAACACCGTACTTGTTGTGTTGCTTCTCGTATTTTTCGAAACATTCTCCACGGATAAGGTCGATGTTTTCACTCTTCGCGCCACCGCACCGGAAATCGTACCTGGATTCGGTATTTTCCACTTCGGCAAAAATGCCAAAGAAAATTACACTGATCACGAACCAAATTAAAACTGCGGCATAGCTAATTTTGTTGAAGGTTCTTGGTGCAAGTGATTCCTTGAGATGATCCATCATTTCAATACTGTTTGTATTTTCGCTGTTTTCGATGAGATGAAAATTGCTCTCTAGCTTTGGTTGTGGACTTCCGGTTACAGATTGTTTCAGATTTCTAAATTTGATCATGAAAGAAATACGTTTTTAACTCGTGGCAAACTTACGGCTGTCAATAATTTATTCTCGCACGCCATCATTTTCTTTCTGATATCGGAAAATTGAAATAGAAAAATGAAATGGAGAGATAAATGTGTCGGTTGGGTCAAATTTTCTTTATTTTTAATGCGTGAGATTCTATGTCGTTGAAAGAGGCGCAAAAGAAACAATTACAAGTATGGAGAGACATTTCGCTTTCTGAAGCAAATAGAAGCGTCACGACAAAAGAAATTGTGAATTGTCACTGATGGCTCTTCAAGTTTACCTTTGCCTTAGTCCGGGGCTTTTTACTGAGTATGAAAGCTCCATAACAGGAGGCTTGGTCGCTCGACTTTTATTTTTACAAAGAGTCTGCAATGTTAAATGTTTTCTCTTTTCGCTTGTATTACAGCAGACTGTGACTTTTCAGTGAAGGAATGAAAGACATTCCCTTACGAAAATGAAACCATGTATCTGACCCGACTGTCATATCATTTCGCATGCCTTCCACTGGATTTTTTAAAGGGATTTGCGTTACCGTAAAGTATCCTTGTATTTTCCAAATAACAGTAACCATTCTTATTAGGTAGATGCTCGTTCGCTTTGTGTCAAAACAATGCTTGCTCTTCTGAAATAAAACAACTTTCGCCCCCGCTTCATTACAGTCTCAATGTGATAAACCGTCCTAAATGTAACATTGTTACTGTGAACTGTGCTGCTAACTAATAGTTCTGAAAAAAATTTCTGGAAAGATAAAAGTTTAATGAAGAACTTTTATTCTTAAAAATTAATCGTCAACCGTGAGAGATACCCAAACACTTAGCCTTCAGAGATTCCAGCGCACTGAGACCCTCCTTCTTAAGCTGAGCCGAGGGCTATGGTGCACCAACTGTAAGAAGGAAAAAGCTATTTCGAATATTTAAATACGCGATTTTCATAAATTGAACGAAAAACTTCTATTATTTCATATCAGATCGGTGTCTCGTTTCAGTTTAACTGCAAGAAATAAAATTGTCGAGGTTTTCGAGCTTGTCCCTACCTTCTTGAATCCATATCAAACTCATGGGGTACAAATAGTCTTAACATGAATATAGTGACCACGCCCACTTCAACGCCCCACTCAAATCGAGTGTAATTTTCGAACATTTTACCATTGTGCGGATTCTCTACGGAAAAAGCACTCAATGTACCTCTGAAATATTAAACTATAATATTGTGGCATTCTATTTCGCTAATTTTCTAACTTGAAGGTAAAGTTTTTCCCTCGTCATTTTAACCTTTTCTCCGAGCGGTTGCGTGAAATTAACAAGGCGTTTTTGTTCAAAACATAACCGAGCGAAGCGTCTCGGGCGATATCCCTTTTACGCAAGCGCAATTTAAAAATGTACGGGTAGTTAGATAACGGCGTAATATGTGACTAACACAGTCTATAGACTAAGATTTTACGCCACTATGTGCGTCGGTGTATATGTATGTAAGATTTTAAGCCGTTAACTAACGGCGTAAAATCTTACAGTATATAATT